ATTGGAGTTAGAATGAAGAAGGTACAATTTTTTGAAGTTTTATAAAAAAGATGCCAAAATGTTCTCGGTAAGGTCGATATGGCTGTGAGCAGTTTTGTTTTCGAAAACATGTGATTTTCAAGGCTAAAACGGGATTTTTTGGACAAAGTTTGTGAAGAAACCTCCCCTAAAAATGAGTCCTCTAATCAACCATGGTCCAAACCAAGAACAAAAAGTAACATAAAATGACCAAAATACCCTTGAGTGCAAGGTATGCCAAGAAGAAAAAGCATTTGGCTGCGAGTAGTTATTCTCCGAAAAAACTTGAATTTCAGGGCTAAAACGGGACGTTTTGGAAAAAGTTTGTGAAAAAACACACCCTAAAAATGAGCCTTCTAATCAACTTTGGTCCAAACAAAAAATAATATGCAACATAAAATGACCAAAATGCCCCCAAGATTAATTACGTCAAAGAAATAAAAACATGCTGAAAATTGACATACATTCCATACATCAAAAGAGTTTGGCCCTTGGCCTCATTACAGATATGTTAAAGTAGCATCACATAAGGTACTTAGGTTTATATTACATGTCAAAAAGGAAGCTAATCATGCTTCTAAACAAGTGATACATTGAACAACATTAAAGACAATAAAATCATGCTAACACTTGCATGTCAAAATTATACAAAAATAATCGAATGAATCCAAGCCAAGCTAGGGATGTTGAGCATCCAAAGTAATGTCTTCTTGCTTGAAAAGACCCAAATCAACTGAGGTGAGTAAACGAGTTGCTCAGTATGATGAAGCGCATTCGTATAACCTAAGGTTTTAACAATTTTGTCAGTGTAATATAAACGAATACACGTGGATCATGCTTCATAACGTCTAAGTTCAATATGGAGCTAAGGGATCATCCTAAAGCTACCTTTGAAATAATTAAAACATAATCCACGATAGGCAAAAATCATAATCAATAATGGTGCTTCCAATGTCAACAACAAGTTACAATTCAAGTAATGTCAATTTGAAACAGAATGCGAAAACAAACAATACGAAAATATTGAAAAAACAACTACACAAAGCTAGAAGAATAACAAAGTCTACACAACTCCAAGAACTATAATACAACTTACACATAGACTCCACAATGATGCAACTCACACATGCAACTCCATGATGCAATGAGATGTGTTGCGGAATTGAATCCGATGGTAAACAAATGGTGCACTTCCACACCCCACTGGTAGTGTTCCTTGGGACTTTCAACCCAATAGACTCGATGTCCACTTTTTCAATATTCAGATAGTGTCTATCCTTCAATCTTGTTATACATATCATACACACATAACTTATAACTAAATGAACTTTATGAACCAATGATGACCACCATGCTCCTAAGGCCAAGGTGGCACACACACATTATAATTTACTCACAAGTAAATATATCAAAATGTCACAATACAAAAACAATCTAGACTACTCAATATCTACATAATCATGTCATTTAAAACTACAATGGCAAATACATAAACAAGTTTACAAAGTGAATCAAATCAAGCTATTACTATGTAATCAACCATTGAAATCCATTCATGCTAGTATATTATAAGTTTAAAATCCATGATAACAACAACAACATAGTATTAAATTCATAATTAAATCATTGACAATTATTATCTAGAATTTCTATAATTACACTAATGAAATCTCTAGATTTCAAAACATCACCTAATGAAACAAAATTAATACAAGTTAAAGATCATGTAAAAGCCTTAAACAATATAAAGCCTTAAGTTAATTTCATGGAAGATACATCTGGATGCAACCCTAGAATTCAAAAAAACATGCATACAATGTATATTAACCTCAGAACACATTAAAACACTAAGAGTATAAACATATGGCATCCCCTACTTCACTAGAGGATTGAACCTCTAGAATCCAAGGCAAACAAAATCAAATGAAGAAACCGAGCAAAAGTGTTCTAGTAATGGAAGTGAGGAAGATTTTGTCTTCAAGGTAGAAGACCAAAGTCTCAAGGGAAGGGGTTCGAAAATCAGAAATAAAGGCTAGGGTTTCAAGGTTTATCACTGTACCTCACTAGAGGATTGTTCCTCTAGACTCTAAGGCAAATGAAAGTAAATGGAGAAACTGAGAAAAGGTGTTCTAGAGAAGGAAGAGAAGAAGATTTGGTATTCAAGGTGGAAGACCAAAAACTTTAGGAAGGGGGTCGAAAATAAAAAATGGAGGCTAAGGTTTCAAGGTTCAACGATGGAGTTTAGGTGAGAGCTTAGAGAAGACTATGGAATATCTCTAGATATTCCACTAACTAATGGATTTTGTTAATTAAATACATTATCTCTCTCACACACACACACACATCAACCCTCCACTTGTCACCATCCTAGGCTTCTTCACAATGTTAAATCTAAGTTTTACACTTGTCACCATCCAAAGGCAACAAGTGTTCTAATGAAAAGTCAACAAGTTACCCCATAGAAATTGTGACACTTGTCACTCTTTTTCACAAATTGAGCTAATCCTTCCTCTAAATATCTTAAGGAATAATTACAAACAAGTCCCTAAGGCAAAATATCTCAAAAACTTAATTACACAAATAACCCCGAAAAAGGAAAATATTTTTGAAAAAACTATGCATTCATACCCCTATAAAATAAAAATAAATGAGCATGCTTTTTAATAAAATTAAGACTTACGCGGGCAATAAAATATTAAATAACGTAATGTACATGGTGCCGAAAATCTGTTGCGGACATTGAGACCTACTTCGGGTCAAACAAAACCCTTAGGCCACAAGAAAAAAGATAAACAAGTAAATAAATAATTAAATAAATAATAATAAATAATAAACAATAGATAAATAAATATCTCGAAAAAAAAAAAAGATGACACAGTCGTCACACTCGACTTGTTGCAGATGGTTTTCATTCGCAAGAGGGAATTGATTATACTAAAACTTTCAGTCCAGTTGTAAAACATGCTACCATTCGCACAGTTTTGGCATTAGCTATGCATCATAATTGGCACATTTATCTACTTGATGTATAAAATGCATTTCTACATAGCTATCTAAATGAAGAAGTTTAGATATGTCAACCGAAAGTATTTGAGGACTACATTTCCTAATCATGTATGTTGCCTTCGCAAATCAATATATAGATTGAAACAGGATCCTCGTGTATGGTTTCAATGATATACTCTTTGACTATCTCGAAGAATTTGGTTTTGTCACTTCCAAAACAGATTGTTCATTATTTGTTTATCAACATAAATGTACTCTTCTCATTTTATTAATCTATGTTGATGATATTCTCATCACCGGCAATAGTACCTCTCAGATTAAGATTTTGATTTCTTCTCTTGGGAAAATTTCGTAATGAAAAATTTGGGACATTTGCATTATTTTCTTGGATTATAAGTTGACTACACTGAGGGTCTCTATCTTACACAAAGAAAATATGTTATTGATCTATTAAAGCGTGTTCAGATGGAGAATGCTAAGCCATATAGCAATCAATCTGTTAGTGGAAAGAAGCTAGAGTCATATGATGGTAAGCTTTTGGGATGGTCCAACAAAATATCGGAGTGTTGTTGGTGCTTTTCAATATCTCACAATCACTCGTCCTAATTTGACATATGCGGTGAATCAAGTTTACCAATTTATGCATCGTCTGACTATTGTTCATTGGACCGCTGTTAAACGAATTCTCCGATATATCAAAGGCACAATCAATGATGGATTACTCTTCACACCAGGTGGTTTAAAATTAGAAGCCTATTCAAATGCCGATTATGCGAGTTGTCCTAGTGATTGAAGATCCACTTGAGGCTACTGCCTATACCTTGGGTGTAACCTTATTTCGTGGAGTTCTAAGAAACAACCAATTATATCTCGATCTAGTACTGAAGTTGAATATCGAAAACTTGCTGACACAGCTGCAGATATTTCTTGGTTAAGGCAACTCTTACGAGATCTTCACATTTTTCTTCCCAAAGCTCCACTTATTTGGTGTGACCATGTTAGTTCAATTTCTCTCACCTCTAATCCAATATTTCATGCCAAAACAAAACATTTATAAGTTGATTACCATTATGTACGTGGAAAGTGGTTCAAAAGGAGTTTATTGTCTTATATATTACCTCGGTTGATCAGATGTTTTCACAAAAGGTCTTTCGTCAACTCGGTTTCAAGCATTGAAATTCAAGCTTATGGTCCGATCTCGACCTATTAGCTTGCGGTGGTGTGATAGACATTGCCACGTGATTTCAACCATGAGAGTAACTCTCCTTGTTTGAGCAAACCATTAAGATTTGTAATTGATTTCTTTTTGAATTTTGATTCTTTGTAACAACTCCCAAGTCATAGAGATTCTTTGTAATAGCTCCTAAGACTTAGATATTTTTTACTATTTTACATTGATTCATATTGTATGTATATTTGATAATCATATCAATGAAGGGTGTGATTCACCTAATTATTTCAAGTTCGACAGGGGAGTTCATTGTAATTTGACAAAGAAAATGGGAGGGAAATTCTCAAGAATGTTAGTGTAATTTACTCAACTTTTAAACTGTAGTAGTTTTGTGAATTTCCTATAAAAAAAAATTAAAAGAAAAAAAGCAACTCTTTATCTGCGTTTTTTACAACCTGATCAGGTTGTTACTTCTTTGAAACACATACTATTTCCCTCTAGAAAATGCAGCACAAGGGACCTGTTCTCATTCTTCGATCAACAAACAAACTATCTAAGTTAACAGCCTCAAAATTTAGTGAAATTAGCTGTATTTTAATGGAATGAAGGATGTGAAATCTATTAAAGGCTTTAAAGCTACCAAGTAATGATTTTTTTTTTGACAAAGGAGAAAAGCGGAATCTGCATAGCCTTTTTGGATCACAATAAAACTCCTCCCATAATGTAATCTTGACCGTCAAAATTAAGTTAGTACGTGGACCAGAGTCGCAAACATTATGCTAATCATCAGCAATATATACCAAAGTATTACAAGAAAAGTCATCCTATAAATTACAGTAATCTTGATAAAGGGTAAATATTAATCAACTAAATGGACCTAAGTCACAACATATACATGGTGTAAATACATACCAAGGTCTTATTTCACCAAGTAGTGATGTTTGGTTATGGTCTCCATGATCTTTTCCCTCCCTCTCATTATATTAGTGCTACACTTCTCATTATGTTCACTCAACTTCTCAATTGTTTGCTTAAACTCGCTCAGCTTCTTCTTGATGTCTTCTATAGCTACCATCACATCCTCCTCTTCTCTAACAGCAAAATCAGCAGTTTGGAACAGTGATCCAATCTTAATTTCCACTGTATCCACAAGTACTCGAATGTTGTCCAAGTCCCAGATTGCAAAGTGAGTCTCGTTCGTTACTGAATGAATTATCTCTTGGTGTCCTTTCAGCTCCTTCTCGAACTTCTTCCAAAGGGAATTAATCCAATGACGCATTGGCACCAGCGACGTCGTAGCTGCAGCCCCCAGTGCCGCCAAAAGCGGCGCAGAAATCGCTGCCGCAACTAGCGGCGTAGAAAAAGCTGCCGAAACCGTAAATATCACAGCAGAAGCAAAAGTCACCACAAAAATCACATCCCACAGAGTCCTCCAGAGCTTCATTTTCTTCCACTTCTTACCAAGCCTACCCTTCTTAGCTTTCAATTTCTTTAATACTGACATTTGGCTTGCATAAAGAGATTGAAACAACAACAAGAACTCTTTGGTAAATGGGTCATCTGCAGTCTTGAAATTCTTCAATTCCTGCAGCGTCCTCGAATAGATTTTTCTCTTCCCGTTCAACCCATCTCTCTGTTCTTCCTCAGATGGCTGCAAAGCGTGTTCAATCGTCAATTGGCTGTCTCGTGCACCCTTGAGGCACTTCTCGAGAGCAGTACAGAAATCCAGAGTCTGGAGACTGTTATCGAAGTAGTCTTTCACAATATCGAACAGATCTTCATCCTTCAATATGTCCTCTTTGCATTCCTCAAGGAATTTCACCACTAGTTCATTCGTTTTGGAGTAGTAGCCTGTGAGTTCTCCCAGCGAGTTGAGAGTGAGTGAACCAACCCGGACGTCCGCTACCAGGCTGTTGATGACTCGGCTGGTACTTTGTTGGAGGGTCGAATCGAATGACTGAAGAAATGGGTCGCTTCGACAAGCGGCCTCGTAGGAGCTCAGATCCGACGCCAACTGTAAATATAGTTCCTGTTCTTTTTTCTGGCTATGTTCCTTTATCTTTCTAAACAGAAAAGACATTGTTGGAGAAATTAGAGAAAGGTAAATCGAAATTTGAAAGCTTAGGTATGTGCGTGAGATATAAAGATAGATATTGGGGTATGATGAAAATTTTTGATTCAGGATTGTTCGATCCTCAAGTCAATAAATAAGCAAAGGAGTAACAGAATGGAAATTTCATGGAAAGTTACGATTTCCACCACGGAAGAGTAATATTTTTGTACTTTTGACCAGAACAACAACGATTAACTATCGAGAGTCCGGGCTATCGAGCCACCCTTAACCGCGGGAACAAAAACTTTGGAACAAGCCAGTCCCAGCCCAAACCGCGTGCCTAGAATAAGATGCCAAATTAACCCGAAAGGACATCTCAAAGTCAAAGCCGCCACAATTTTTCAAAAGCGCAGCTTGTGGACTTGATCCTACAACAAGGAAGTACTTATTCAAAGGACGTAACTCAGACTTTTGGGAAAACATTCACTGATGTCACATTGATGATGACTACACAAAAACTAAAGGACATAATTTGTAATTTATTTTTAAAGTTGTGATGTAAAACAGAATTTTGGACAAGTTGACATTCGACCTAAAAGGATTCTTTTTGGGGTGAAAACGACCCATTGAGAAAAATTCACTAGGTGTATTTTGTGGATTATGTTGGTTTGCGGCTAAAAATCTTCTTGTAGGGTCGTTATACCGCGTTTTCTTGTATTATTAGAGGTTTGCTGATTATTTTAAAAAATTTATTTAAGGTCTAAACGAAGTCAGAATGCTCTTAAATTTTTATATTTAGTTTTTTTTCTTATTTTATACATGTAACTTTTGATTAATGATATTTCATGTTACTTTCCAATTCTTATTTAACTTTGAAGATTCAAAATTACTCTACTTTGTTGGATTCAATGTAATCATGTTACGTATTTTTTTATTTTTTTATTTTTTTTAAAGTTAAATTTCAATTTTATAGATATAACAATTAACAAATATACAGTAGCCCAAGCTAAAAAACCAGCACGATATGAGTCCATGAATACTGAAACCCAGTCCCATTATTACAAACATCCCATTCTAGGGGAATCAAATTAATGACCGATGTTGGTCAACCACACATAACAGTGCGGAGATGGAGAAGGGCTCCTCATACTCGGCAATCTGGTGGCTTTGACTTTGAGCAATTATTCCATGCCACCTTTGAACCAGTCTTCTTAAGCTTAGGCCCAGACCAGAGAAAAGCTCTGAATTCCAGAATAATGCTTCTTGGCAAAATGAATTTGGAGCTCCAATATAGTTGAGTGGAAAACAATAAAGCTCTAATAATAAGCTGCATTCTCCCAGCAAAAAAAAAAAAACAAAAAAAAGGGATCCTTACTAGTCCAGTAAATAATTCTATAAGTAATTTTATCAATGAGGATCCTGACTAAAACTTTCAGCATGGAAGTAACTAGAGGCACTCCAAGATACCTCACTGGGAGAGCGTCTTTCTCAAAACCAAGTATTGCTAGAATGGTGGCTTCCAATTGCTCATTAACACGAGATGAAAACATGGCTCTTATACTCTAGCTGATTTGGAGACCAGAGAGAGAAGAGAATGCCTCAATATCATGCTTGAGAGCACATAGGGAAGGAAGGCTGGCATGTAAAAAAAGCATAAGGTCATCAACAAAGATGAGATGTGTTAGCCTCAGTTCTTTACACCTTCAGTGAAACTTGAATGGCATATCATGAGTGAATTTGTTGATTATGAGTGAGAATACCGGCACCACAAACACAAAAAGAAATGATGATAAGGGGTAACTTTGTCTCAGCCCTTAATGCGATTAAAATAACCATTAAATTCACCATTAATTGAGATGGTGAATGAAGGAGTAGTTACATAAGTTTTGATCTAAGCTATGAACAAAGAAGGAAATCCAAACAACCTCAATGACTCAAAGAGAAAATCCCATGATACTGAGTCAAAAGCTTTCTTAAGATCAATTTTGAGGGCACATCTTGGTAAATTTGTCTGTATGTGGTGGCCATTGAGAAGCTCTTGAGCAAGTAAGATGCTGTCATCAATTTTCCTTCCATGAATGAAGGCTAACTGTGCATGGTCAATGAAATGAGGAAGTTTGGGTTTGAGTTTGTTTGAAAGTATTTTAGAAATACATTTGTTGATGGTAGAACATCAAGAAATTGGTCTATAGTCATTGAGGGTAGTGGGATTGGAGATTTTGGGGACAAGTGAGATATAGGTTGAGTTAACCTCTCTGAGTAACTTTCCTGATGTGAAAAATTATTTTATTGACTTTGTAACATCATAACCAACAACTGGCTATGCTTTCTTAAAAAAGAAAGCATTGAAGCCATCAAAAAATAACCATGTTCATTATGAACAATTCATAGCTTTTTGTTATGTCAAGTTCTAAGGGATTGGCCAAGTTGAATAAAGCTTTTGTAATCGATCTCATAACTTATGTAACCGATTATATTGTCTCCTATAAATAGATTCAAACAGCTGTAATTGCATTTAATGCTTATCACTCACCTCCAACAGTCATATTTCTGTAATTAATGCTCATCACCTACCTTCAACAACAAAAGACTCTATATAAGAGTATGCATTGAATAAGGTAAGATGATCTTTGATGGAGCATTCAAAAAAGCATTTCCTTAAGCATTCATTTCTCTTGTGCATTCAATCATCAAAGACTTGAGCTTCATTTGATTCATTTATTACTCTAGTCTTGTAAGCTTACTTATGTATATTAATCTTCGAAGAGATACTTTTGTACTACTACTTTGTTTACTTCAAAACATTGTAAGTGTTGGTGTGACCCAAAGGAATACTAGGAGAAGGTTGTTCTCTTAAGATGATCTTTGATGGAGCATTCAAAAAAGCATTTCCTTAAGCATTCATTTCTCTTGTGCATTCAATCATCAAAGACTTGAGCTTCATTTGATTCATTTATTACTCTAGTCTTGTAAGCTTACTTATGTATATTAATCTTCGAAGAGATACTTTTGTACTACTACTTTGTTTACTTCAAAACATTGTAAGTGTTGGTGTGACCCAAAGGAATACTAGGAGAAGGTTGTTCTCTTAGCAAGTAAAGGAGAAGCAAGGTCTTGCTTCTTGTTAAGGTTTGTTCTCCACCCGTAAGGAGAAGCCATAATGGATTTGGGAAAGTCTCAAGGAGAAGCCATACTTTGTTTATTTCAAAACATTATAAGGGTTGGTGTGATCCAAAAGAAGATTGGGAGAAGGTTGCTCTCTTAGCAAACAAGTTAAGGAGAAATAAGGTCTTGCATCTTGTTAAGGTTTTCTTTCCACTTGTAAGGAGAAGCTTGAATCGAGGCCCAAACCCCACCCCCCCCCCCCCCCCCCCCCCCGGCCCGGCGCCCCGGTTCTAGAGTCCATTATTGGATAACATGTGGTATTTATTTATTTATAGCCTCATGTGATAGTTTGATGAAGAGACACATTGCTTCAGTTTAGTGCATGCAAACATTGTTCCAAAATAATGAATTAGAAGATACTAAATAATTTACCTAAATTCGCTGAAACACGTCTACTATTTGTCGTTACATTCACGAAACAAAAATTATTTTCAAAGAAGTAAAATAATAATAATAATAATAATAATAATAATAATAATAATTTGATTAATTAGTAAAATGATTTTAAACACCACCTTATATATTTTTTATTTCATTTATAAAACACTAATCATGACGTAAAATATAAATTTTTTGAAGAGTTTCGGGATGTATAATGATTTTAAGATAGACTTATTTCATGAATTTGAATTGTTTTGGCAGAATAAACTAATTTTATTTTTTGCCAAAATCAAAATTAAAGAAGAAGTTTAAAGAGATTAAAATAATTTTTAAAACCAACTACATTATGTATTTATTATGTGTTCATTGTACTTACTTATATTAGGCTATTTATATTTTGTGCAACTTTTATAATAATAAAAGTTCAAATGTTCCATAATTCAGAACTTAAAAATGATATTTAAAAAATTCATAAATTGATTATTTTGACTCATCATAGTGCATGTAATTTAAAATACCACATTGTCTAATTATTAGTTGAATTATATAACACAATTGATGATGTAAAATGGGAAAAAGCCAAGAATACATATTGTTGGTCCTAGCCTTTAATTCTTGTTTTGCCTTTACAATGTCAAAAGTTTGCTCACAGGCCCATTTCCTTTGATTATTACAAGTTCTGGTGTGCTTAAATCATTTGTGGCATCTTCAGAGGCAGTATGGTCATCTCGAGTGTGTGTGAGCTCATTTAAATTTATTAATCAAGGTACATTGTATTACAAATCATTTTTATAGGTTCATCATGTCACAATTCTGGTTTGCAATGACATATGTCCATTTAGGGGCAATTCTGTAATGATCCTCATTTTTATTATTTCCATTTTCTAGGATTTTTTTGATTTTTCGGGTTTATTTTTGCCTTGTCTCATTTTGCGTGTCGGACACCGTGGAGTGTGTCGGGTGTGTTTGAGAGTTGGTTGGGGCACTTCTTTGAGTTCAGGACTCTTCGAAATGCATTGGTTGTCATTTTAGCATTTTTTTCGTCTTTTGGGCCAGGAGGTCCCAGGTGGGACCTGCTACTGGAGTCGTTGTGCACAGGGATTGTGTTACGGGTCCATTTCATTTCATGCAAAATTATTTGATGTACAATTACTTAGTTACATGTTTAATTTAGTGGTTGTATTGTGTTATTGTTCGCGCGGTTTTACACCAGTCAATGGACTCTTTGTGGGCGTGCCAAAGTATTTGTATAAAAACACTCAAAATATGTTGATTCGAACACCAGCCTATCCCTTTTTCCGATGGCTGACTTCAGGCGATTGTGTGGGAGAGAGACTAGTAAGAACTCCCAGCAAGGTTCTTTTATGCCTTGTTTGCAGCAAGGACTTTTTATCTAAGTGTTAAAAGAAATTAAAATGCAATGACTAAAGAAATTGGAATGAACAGGCTAAATGGAAATTGACTTTAAATGAAAAGGCCGAATGAAAATGAATGGAAAGAATTCAATTGATTGCCATTGAATTGAAAACAATTTGAATTGAAATGTGCATAATTAAAATGTAGTAAAGCAAAATGCAGTGGTAAGAATTTAATCAATTGCCAGTAAAGGAAATGACAAGAATTTAATCAATTGCCATTGAATTGAAAACATTTTTAATTGAAATGTGCATAATTGAAAACTGGCAGATTTGAAATTGACTGAAAGAAATGCAATAAAACAAAATGTCGTGGCAAGAATTTAATCAATTGCC